CGAGTCCTGGCGAGTGCCGGGCTCCACTCTGCTACCTTTGCGTTCCGTCTCAGGCGATCCCGCCTCAGTCCCATGAGGTTGGGTCTCCTCAGTCCCATGACACAGAGAGGGGATGTGACTGGCCCAAGGTCAACACGTGGCCAGTGTGGGTGGCAGCACAGGGGGCCGCCTGCCTGGGAGAAGGGACGACAGGCATCCGGGCTGTGAAAGCCAGACCGCTGCCCCCAGGGCCAGGGTTGGCTCCCCCTTTGACAAGGGCCCCCCCAAACCTGAACTTCCTGGAGCCGCGACTGGTTGCAGGCCTGTCCCCACGCATGCTGTGCTTACTCCACCCAGGGTGGGGAGCAGGCTGCGAGTGGGTGGGGAAGGGTCCTGCCCAGCACCTGGGGCACAGAGGCTGGCTGGAGCTGAGGCGTCGGGGCCTCTGCTCAGGCTGGTCCTGCCCTGGACACCCCCTTCCCCTCTCACATGCCCAAGTTGGACTCCCTACGAGGCCTGGCTCCAAGGCCACCCACCCAGGAAGCCGCCTCGGCTTCGCCCTCTCACCCCATTGGTTAGGGGTGGCACCTCTTCTGAACACCATTCGACGGACGCCTGATGGGTCTCCCCTGAGGGCCACGCAGTGCTGGGTGTGTGGGACGCGGTCGCAGACGAGGGATGGGGTCCCACGGCCATGAGAGGTAGGGGAGGGACGGGTACAGGCAGCAGGACAGGAGGTTGCATAATGATCAGTCATTCAACTTGGGCTCAAGTATTAGTAGCGACAGTATTAGTATGGATTGGTAATGAAGCAAGGACATGGCCCTCTGGGCCACACCAGCAGCCCTGTGGGTAAGCAGGTGCTCACGGATGGGCAGGAACCACAGTCAAGGAGACCACAACTAACAGCTGTGGAGCACCCCCACCCCAGGCTTGGTACTGTGCTGGGTGCTTCTGTTAGGTCCTGTGTTGACTGCTCCCTGCTAAGTATTGTGTTCAGTGTTCCTCCCAGACTAGTTACTGTGCTGAATGCTCTCTGTTAGGTACTGTGTTCGATGTTCCCTTCTAGGTACTATGTTGAGTGGTCACCCCAGGCTAGGTACTGTGCTGAGTGATCCCTGTTAGGCAATGTGCTGAGTGTTCCCTGCTAAGTATTGCGTTTAGTGTTCCTCCTAGACTAGGTATTATGCCTAATGCTCCCTGCTAGGTATTATGTTGAGTGCCCCCTTCTAGGTACTGTGTTGAGTGCTCACACCAGGCTAGGTACTGTGCTGAGTGCTCCCTGCTAGATACTGTGTTGGGTGCTCCTTGTGCTCCCTGCTAGGTACTGTGTTGAGTCTCCCCCCAGGCTAGGTACTGTGCTGAGTGCTCCCTGCTAGGTACTGTGCTGAGTGCTTCCCCCAGGGTAGGTACTGTGCTGAGTGCTCCCTGCTCCTCATTCGCTGACCCCAGTCCTAGGCTGTACCATGAATCCTTACTGTGCAGATGGAGAATAAGACGCTGGCAGAGGGTATTAAATCCCTGGATCTTCTCCTCCTCCCTGTCTACACAGACTGACCAGGGTGTTCACACCCCCAGGCAGCACACGTTGCACACGCACATGTCCTCACACAGCACACACATGCGCACACATGTACACCCGCACATCACCAGTGATGTTTATACCTCCACAAGTTCCCCAGTGTCCAGGGCCTTTCCTGGACAGTGCAGATCTAATCCTAGGTTTGTGAACTTTTGTTTTCAGGACAACATCCACTTGCGGTTATGAAATTTCTCTGGAAACGTGAAGTCCAGGAATAAACACTTCTCGAGGCTGGACGCCCGCATGAAGTAAGATCAAAGTGCGTCCCTGTGACCCCTCCGTGCTTGCAGGAGGGAACGGTGGGAGGGAACTGGGACATCCTCCCTCGTGCTGGCCTGCAGAAGGACGGACACAGGCCAGAGGTGACCCGTCCCCCACAGCCAGGGCGCTGGGCTGAAAGGCCAGTGTGGGGGAAGGGCCAGCGCCTCGGGCCCTGGTCCTGGCCACCGTAAGCCGAGCCCTGCTGGTGCCAGCCTACATGGGTCACATGCCCATGGAGCCGGCCCAGCTGAGACCACATTGGTTGTGCTCACTGCTGTAGGACACACAGGCCTGGCCCACAGAAGGCCCCTCGTCAATTCTCTGAATGGCTAGAATGAGTACAGGCCTTATCATACCCATTGCTGAGATCAATAACCACAACTCAGGGCAGGCGATCTGCCCAGAACTGGAGGGTGGCAGGGCTGCAGCTGGAACCTGGGTCTACATGAGTCCAGGTAGGGCTCATGGTGGGTTCCAGGGTGACGACACAGGCCTTGCCCTCAATCTCCATGGATCAGCGCTTTATCATTTACCAGGTGGGTGATCCCAGATAAGCACTTCACTGGCTTCAGTTTCCTCATCTGTGAACTGGGAACCTCGCCCCCCACCTTGTGGCACACCAAAGAGGCATAGGAGTGACCGGAAGCTGGAACGTTCAGCAGCTGCTCTGCAAATGGCTCTCATCTGGTGTTGCCCACTGTACTGCTCCCAGGGCAGGTGGTTTGGGTAACTAAGAGCTTTCTGTGTGTCCCTTGGCAAACGAAAGTGTGTTTGAACACTGTATGCACATCTGATTGCTCCATTTCTCCGTCCCATGCTTCCTCGTGCCCTTGGTCTGCACTGAGTCCTTCCACCTAATCTGCCGGCTTATCACTTCCCTTGCTGGTACAAGTTCCTCGAGAGTAGAGACTTTATGCCCCTGTATCTCCCTCCCATGCTCTGCACACAGTAGGTGCTGAATAAATGTCTGCTGCGCATAGAGTAGGAGCTCCATTAGCGCTCATGGCCTGGTTTCCAGGTTTGTCCTATTGCGAACAGCGAACTTCCAGATGGGACCAGCGGAGACCCAGGCAGACACCCTGGAACAACAAGGGCTTGCTCCTTCAACGGAGGCAGGGCCTCCGCTTTCACAGCCACCTTGGGCCATCAGCCCCAGGCAGAAGCCACCCACCTTACCCAAGAAACCCAACTCCAGGGCTCTGGTGGGACAGGTCCCTGAGTCCAGGGGCGCAGAGGTGGACAGCTCAGAGTCCTGAATCTATACCCCCTGGCCTCCCACTGTCCCCTGTCGGGCAGGCATAGCACTTGCTCCAAGGAGGGAGGGGAGAACTCAGCCAGTCATGGGGTGGGGTGAAGCCTGTGTGTGTCACTGGGAAGATGTGCAGGGTACCAGCACCCGGAAACCCCTCCTGTCTCCCACATCCCTCCCTCCCCCAGGGGAGAAACACCCCAGTTTCTCCCTGCTGAGGCGCTCTCCCTCATTGACACCCTCTCCCTCATCCCTCCCCGTAGCCAGCTGGACTCTGGGTCCAAGGTATAAACTCGACTATTTCTTTTCTTTTTTTTTTTTTTTTTTGAGTTGGAGTCTCACTCTGTTGCCCAGACTGGAGTGCAGTGGCCGCTCGACCTGCTAGGGCTCCGGCGATCCCTCCGCCTCAGCCTTCCAAATAGCTAGAACTACAGGCGCACGTTACCACGCCCAGCTGATTTTTTTGATTTATTGTAGAGATGAGGTCTCGCCAAGTTGCCCGAGGGGGTCTCGAACCCACGGCTTCAATTTCCCCCTTTTGAGTCCTGGCCCTGAGCCAATTCTGCACTCATCGAACGCTCAGCGTAGGCTACTTTCTCGAGCGCTTGAGGTAGGTACTGCTGCTGTCCCATTTCATAGGCGAGGAAACTGAGACCCAGAGAGAGGTGGGAATTGCCCGAGGGCACACAGCTCAAAGTGGCTCCACTGGAAACTCCAGCCCTGCTCAAGGTCCCTGATGCTCTGCTCACCTCCTTCGGGCCACCCTGGGGCACGGGCAAGCGCTCCCCCGACCCCGCCTCAGTTTCCTCCCCCGTTAAAGGGAGTGCTGAGCTGAGACCGTCATGGGCCCTCAACACCCCTCCGCCTCTCTCTGTCCTCTCGAATATTTGGTTGCACCATGGAGATAAAACAACCCCTGGCAATCCCAGAGGCATTTCCCCCCCACTGGAGAAACGCAAAAATATCACATGAAGAATGAATCACTTAAAGTGTCAGGGCAGGAAGGGGAGAGACAGGCATGCAGAACGCCCATGGGCGGGGCGGCTCTGGACGTCTCTTCGACTCCCCGGTCTCCCATGGGGCGAGGGGTCCCAACCCCTGGGCTCCCTTCTTTCTCGGGGCGAAGAGAAAGCCCAGAGCCTCAGTTTCCCATCTGTACACGAGGACAACACACCCACCTTGCAGGGGTATGGGAGGGGCCGAGGAGGTGACAGAGGCATTCGCTTGTCTGTTTGTTCATTCACTCACTCATTCACTCACTCACTCATTCATTCACTCATTCATTCACTCACTCATTCATTCACTCACTCATTCATTCACTCACTCATTCATTCACTCACCTATTCTTTCGTATCGTACTGGGTACAATTCTGGGCTGGTGGCTGCCACCGCACTGTGGGCTGAAGAGACCCACCCTGCCTCCGTGAAGCCAACGTCATACCTCGGGACCACGACGGAGGGCATCCCAAGAATGCCCCCACTCTGGGCCTTCTGCAGCTCTCACTGCATGCCAGGCCCTGCTTTGAGCGTCTGACCTTCTCTTCCCAGCCACCCTCTATGCTAGGCTCTTGACACAAGGACACAGAGGCACAGACAAGGGCAGCAACTTGCCCAAAGTCACACAGCAGGTAGGTGGTAACGTCGGTGTACCCCCGCAGCCCTACCCCCTCTACTCAGAGCCCGCTCCCTCCTCCCCCCACACCCCATGAGCACAGCCTTCATTGCAGCCCCACCCAGGCTTCTGGGATGGGTGGTCCCTCTGTGGCCTTGCCTGGCTTCTCCCTCAGGCTGGGTGCTGATCCAGGGCAGCGACCCCAGCCCCTGCCGGGCCTGGCATGCAGCCGGGCTCAGCCAGGGCTCTACCCTGAAGGAATGAGCATGTGCCAGTGCCCAGCGGGGATCTAGAAGCTTCCGCTGGACATCCCTCACCTGCCGAGCTCCGTGACTCAGGGACCAGAAACCACCCTGCTGCCACTGGCTGCTGTCCCTTTTTCTGCCCTTGGTGGCCATCAGCCCTAAACCCCAATAAAAGGAGAGCGGCCTGGCCGGGCCTTGTAGAGGCAAAGGATTGTTTTCCAAGACGGGCCAGCCTGCGTGTGCTGAAAAGAATTTGGCAGGTTCCTCTGGGGTGGACGAGACTGGAGCATCAGCCCAGCGGGGAGCCCAGCCACAACCTGGGGCCCAGGGCCGCCACCTCCCAGGCCAAGAATGGCGGCCATGATTCCTGTCACACTCCAAGCTCCGGTTTGACTGCCTTCTGCATCCTCGCAGCACCCAGCGAGAGTGTCATTTCACAGGTGGGCACACTGGGCACATTCCCTGCGAGATCTCACAGCTAGGCTGTAGCTGGGTCAGGGTTTGGCCCTAGGTGGCCGGGCTCCATGGCCACCCCTCAGCCGATGCTTGGCATGATGCTTGTGGATTCCCTCCCACAGCCACCGGTCTCTGCTGGGTAAATGGGGTGAGTGATGTCACCACGTGAGTCCCTCCTCTGCTCCCGACACTGCCCTGCAAGGAGCGTGTGTCAAACGTACAGGCCCCGTGTCAGCTCTGAGAAGGAAGCCAGGAACCTAGAGGGGCTTGCCCGAGAGACCACGGTGTGGGCAGTGCCTTCCTGGGCTGACCCTCCTTGGCGCCCCTCTGGCCCACCCCCACCCAGCAGCCAAGGGTCCTCTCCGTGGGTCAGAGGAAGGGGATCACCCACACCAGCCATTTTTGAAGCACATCCCTGGCCTCCACAACCATCTGGGCATGGCCCGAGAGCCTGGTTGGCCTCTGCGGCCTTATCTTCCAGTTCCTGGGTGCAACAACCCCCCAGCCCACAGCCATCTCCCAACCCCAGGCTTTTGTGCGTCAGGGTCTCTTTGCCGTGCCCTTGGCTGGCGTTTCTGCCATGGCCAATGCCACGCTTCTGCATGGCACTTAAGTCCAACCACAGAGGAGGCCAGCTCTCCTCTCTCCCTCTCACCCCTGGAATCCTACCCGTCCTGAGCCAGGCCAGAGATAGACCTCCTTTTTTGTCCCTTTCAGCGGATGGAGCGCCAAGTTCGGACGGGCCTGGGCGCTCCTTATCTAGCCACAGCCCTGACGGACATGGGCAGCCCAGGTAGGACTGTGTCCTGGTGTGAGAGAGGTGCCCAACGCAGCCTGGTGTGGGGGAGAAGGATTCTTTAGGCCTTGCAACTAGGAAGTGCCATGACGATCCCCAATTCACAGATGAGGAAACTGAGGTGCAGAGAGTTGATGTGACTTGCCCCGGGCCACCAAATTAGGACCTGGCGGGGCTGGAACTCCGGCAGGGGAGCTGGCGATAGACTCCTGAAGGATGAGAGGGAGAGTGGGAGCAGGAGTGTTCCCAGCAGGGGGGCCACGAGGCACAGGCTCCTCCCTGCCTTCTGAGGACCAGACGGGCTGTGTGAGTGCCTGGACGGATCACTGGGCTCAAGTCCCAGCTCAGCCTAGAGGGCTGATGCCTCCAGTGCAGGCTCGGCATGGCCCTGTGAGACCATGGCTACCTTCCCCAGCTACCAGGAGGGTCCTCACCTCGGCGCCTGTGCCGAATGGCACCAACGTCCCCTGTCCTTCGAAAAAAGGCCCTGCGGGCCCAGGAGTGCTTGCAACTGGAAAGTTCCCAGTGGCACTGTTGTTTATTGATTTATTTATTTGAGTTGGAATCTCACTCCATCGGCCAGGCTGGAGGGCAGTGGCACACTCTCGGCCACCGCACCCTCGACCTGCTGGGCTCCGGCGATCCTTCCACCTCAGCCCTCCAAGTAGCTGGAACTACAGGCATGCATCACCACACCTTTTTTGATGTGTTGTAGAGACAAGGTCTCTCCCCAAGTTGCCCAGGCTGGGCTTGAATCCCTGGACTCAGGTAATCCTCTCGCCTCGGCCTCCCAAAGTGCTGGGATTACAGGCGTGAGCCACTGCGCCCAACAGGCTCTGTTATTAAGAGGGAAGCCCTGGGGACACCCCAGACGGATAAACAGAAAAATGCATCGTGCCGTGGTCAGACGCCGGAAGGCTCTTCAGCTGCCAAAGGAAGCTCCAGCCACCCCAAACCCGGCGTCACGGGCTGAGAGAGAAAGCCGAGTCGCCAGAGACTAAATTCAGCACAATACGCTTGTTTTCATGAGTCAGGTTTTCGCTCTGTCGCCCAGGATGGAGTACAATGACGCGATCATGGCCCACAGCAGCCTCGCCCTCCAGAGCTCAGGCGATCCTCCTGCCTCAGCCTTCCAAATAACTGGGACTACAGGCGCGTGCCTCCATGCCAGGCTAATTTCTTGATTTTTTTTTTTGTAGCGACGAGGTCTCCCTATGTTGCCTAAGCTGGTATCAAACTCCTGGGCTCAAGCGATCCTCCCACCTTGGCCTCCCAAAGTGCTGAGATTAGAGATGTGAGCCTCTGCACCTGGCCAGATATGCTTACAAGGCTAGAAGACAAACACATGTGCGTTTTACCAACACACCTGGGGGCTATGACCGGCACACGGAGTGGGAAGAAAGGTGGGCTCAGGGTGGGGGGGCACACCGGGGCTGATTGATGTCCCCACCCTCGTGTTGGGGTGTCTAGGTTCAGGGATGTTCATTATGTTATTTAAAAAACAAGCAAGTAAACAACGAGGGCTTGGCATGGCCTGTGATGGGAGAGCCAGGAGCCAGGAGAGAGACCTGATTCTGTGGCCCGGAGTCCAGGAAAGGAAATGTAAAACCAGGGCTCAAATATATCTAAAAATACAAACAATTACCCCAGCACCCTCCCCCCATCCATTAGAGCCAGGCCCATCTGCTGGGCCGTGAGGCCCACGGGGCCTGGGCCGGGGCTAGGGCTATGCTTTCTCCCAGTCACCATCCCGGGTTCCTGGGCCCAGAGCTGGGACGGTCCAGTTCCATGGGGGAACCTCTGCATGGCTTTCCAGTCTCTTCCCAGCGAGCCCTGGACACCCTGTCCCGGGACTTCCCAGCCATAAATTCTCTGTGCTTGTTTCCTCATCTATAAACTGGGGACAGTGAGTCACATGACGCCCTCCTCTGTCTCCGTGTGCTGACCTGACCTGCGGCCCTGCCTGACATTACCCGGGCTGCAGAATCCCCGCCCTGACTCTTAGACTGTAGATACCTGCCTGGGCAGGCCATCTGGCCTCCGAGAGGCCCAGTGTCTTCCTGTTTGGATGGGTACCATGCCTTCCCCCCACCCCCCAGACGATGACTGAGATGACCAACCTGCAGGACCCCCGCCCAAATGACTCCCTGGGGAGCTGCAGCCTCCTTTATGGTCCCGCGGTCAGCAGGCACCTGGCCTCAGGTGATTCAGGGACAAGACCACGGGTCTCCATTTTGGCTCGCAAAGTTTCCAGTGTGGAGTGGGGATGGGGGAGACAGCCACTCTACAGGTGGGGGGGAAGCAATAAAGCCCCCCACTAGGGGCCAAGTGCCCCCTGCAGGGCCCGGCCTGCCTGGTTACGCTCCCACAACCCAGCGGGATGACATCGCCCTGTGACTCGCCTGAGGTTACAAGCAGGACGCCCGGATCTTGGATCCAGACTTGAAACAGACCCAGCCAGGCACCCAGTTGGGGTGCATCGAACCCTGGGGCAAGGATGTGGGGTCAGGAGGCAGCACGTGCTGGGAAACAGCCCGAGCTGGCACCCTGGACCAGTGAGTGACCCTTCTGAGCCTCAGTTTCCCCATCTGCCCAGTGAGCATGGTACCTAGAGTCGGCCAGGGTAAAAAGAGAGATCCCCAGATGTGGCTGGACCAGGGCCCCACGGACCTGTGGGATCAGAACCAGGGTGGGGGGCACAGGGTCTGCAGCCTCTCCAGCTGCCCAGCGCGTTCTGACACCCAATCAAGAGCCACAGGGCTAGGCCAGAGATCAGGAAACTGTTTCTGCAAAGGGCCAGGTAGAAGGCATCACCAGCCCTGCAGGCCACCTGGTCTCTATCACCTGCAGTTGAAGACAGAAAGGAGCTGTAGATCATAGGTGAATGGGCAACGTTGTGTTCCAATAAAACTTTATTCACACAGACAGGCAGCCCCAGAGTGCAAACCCCTGGGCAAGGGCCTCATTGCCCAAGGACTCTCCACAGACCAGCAGGCCCAGTGTCTCCCAGGAGCTGTTGGAAATGCAGGTTCTGGGGTCCCCAGGGGCAGATCAGAGGTGGGTGCTACCCCACCCTGGCACCTGCGAGGCTGAGCAGTCCTGGGCTGGAGAGTGCAGCACGTTTGCGGGGCAGCTCCCTGGCCCCGCTGGCTCCTTCCGAAGCAGATTAGGGGGCGGGCAGGAGGGGGAGCTGGGAGGGGTGCCTGGAGAGTTACAACAAACCAAGGCACCAACACGGCTAATTGGCAGCAGCTGCTGTTTCAACCAGAGGCTTGTCAGCTGTGATTAAGTGAAGTTGCCTTTAGGCCAATCAACTTCAAAATTATGCAAATCCAGCCACCACGGAGACCACAGGGACTGTGCGAAGCCAGCTCTGCCACCCCTGACCCGGCACGCTTAACCCCCCTCCGCTGGTCTGGAGGGCCCACGTTCCCCGTGCCACCCTCTGGACCGGTTCCGCTTCTGGGGGTTAATGAGCCTCCCACCCACACTCTCTGTAACTGGCATGGAAGCCGCCGGGTGGGTGTGATCTGGCAGCCGAGAGCCAGATCAGGGCTGGACGCTGCTCTCGAAAGTGCCCACTGCCCCACGGATGCGCCGGGGACCTGTCCGCTGCACTGGCCCGCTGAAGCATCGCACTAGGCTCTGCCTTGACTCAGTGTGATCTGCACCCAAGAGGACTTCCTGGAGGCAGTGGCTGGGCTGTGAGGGAGGGAAATAGGGGCTTCCAAAGGCGGCAGGAAGTGGCCCTTCAGCCCCCTCCCTGAGCACTCGCAAGCCCCTACTAGCTGCCACCAGCTTAGCAGACCTGAGCACCCAACAGCCTCCTCCTCCTGCCTCCACTCCTGTGGCCCCTGGCACCCCAAAGTTG